TATGGTAAATACTGACAGATATAACCCACATAAAAAACTACCTTTGGGGTCCTCACTAATTGGAAAGAGCATACAGAGATCCCGAAACGAAAACGTTTGAAAAGCACTGACTTAGCTCCTGGGCCACCAGGATTCAGCGAGACCCTGTAACAGAGAAGGAATCTGTGCGGAAGGACAGGGGTCAGAACAAGGTCCAAGGTCCAGGGTGAGGCTCTCAGGGTCTCAGGCCCGAGGCTGGTGTCTGGCAGGTAAGCCGAGCACTGGGGATCCCCATGTCCCCGGACTTTGACTTCTCCCTCTCACAACCTGTGTCGGGTCCTTCTGCCCGGACACTCGTGACGCGGCCCCAGTCCTCACTCCCATTGCGTGTCCGGATTCTAGAGAAGCCAATCAGCGTCGCCGCGGTTCCCGGTTACAAAGTCCCCACGGTCCCGCCGGGACTCAGATTTTCCCCCAAAACGCAGAATGCGGGTCATGGCGCCCCGATCCCTCCTCCTGCTGCTCTCGGGGACCCTGGTCCTGACCGAGACCCGGGCGGGTGAGTGCGGGGTCGGGAGGGAAACGGCCTCTGCNACGACGGCGCCGATTACATCGCCCTGGACGAGGACCAGCGCTCCTGGATCGCTGGGGACGCGGTGGCCCAGGTCGAGAAGCGCAAGTGGGAGGCGGAGGGATATACGGAGAGCGTTCGAGCGTACTTGGAGGGGGCGTGCATGGAGTCGCTCCGGAGATACGTGAAGAACGGGAAGGAGGCTCTGCAGCGCGCAGGTACGAGGGGATGCCTCACTGGTCTACGGTTGCTCTCTCCTGCTGGCCTCCCTCAAGGAGGGCGGGAGACTGAGATGGACCCAGAGTATCGCCCCTCCCATGTGTGGGGAAAGGGAGGAGTCCGCCTGGGTTTCCAGATCTTGTACCAGAGAGTGACTCTGAGGGCTTGCCCTTCTCTCAGGGAAAATAAGAAAACCACTGCGAACTTTGGTTTTCTTCTCTGCTCCACACCTGATGCCTTTGGAGGTCTGACTTCAGCTTTTCTGAGTCACTGGGCCTCCACTCAGGTCAGTGGCAGAAATCCCTATTCTCCCCCTCAGGCATCTGGAGCTTCCTACCCTGGGCCGCTTTACCCTGCTTGTAGAACATTACAAGGAATAAGAGAGTACCCCAGATCCCTAGGTTCAGGCTGGTGTCTCGGTTTTGTGGTCCCTCCCCAATTGTAACCATCCTGTCCATTCCCAGGATGGTCACATGAGTGCTGCTGGAGTGTTCCATGAGAAATGCAAAGTTCCTATATGTAGAGCTAGGGCTGGGTCTGGAGCTCACAGACCCCTCTAGCCCGTTCACAAACCCTTCACATGCAGGTCTACGAGCTAGGAAACTGGCAAAAAGGTCCTTGGAGCCTTGGTTGAAGAAAGGGTAGTCTTTATTCAGCACACACACATCTAATACCTAGGCATCCAAAGGGAAACTCAGAAACTGATCTGCTACGGGCAAAATCCAAAGAAAACTGAGCAGCTGCCAGCAGGTAAACATGCTCTATTTTTAGACACGAGCTCTGCCGGCTGGTTCCATTTCACAAACTGAACACACAATAACAATTAACTAAAAAGATACATTGGTGTACATATGCACTGATTCCATCCACACACAACTTGTTTACAAGAAATGTGCTGCTCGACCCCCAACCAGACCTGAGCGGAGGGAGCCTGACTAAATTATCCTATTTTCCCCACACTGTATTTTTTACTCTTTTCCTCAGACCCCCCAAAAACATATGTGACCCACTACCCTATCTCTGACCGTGATGTCACCCTTAAGTGCTGGGCCCTGGGCTTCTACCCTGTGGAGATCATACTGACCTGGAAGCGAGATGGGGAGGACCAAACCCAAGACATGGAGACTGTGGAGACCAGGCCTTCAGGGGATGGAACCTTCCAGAAGTGGGCAGCTGTGGTGGTGCCTTCTGGGGAGGAGCAGAGATACACGTGCCATGTGCAGCATGAGGGGCTGCCAGAGCCCCTTACCCTGAGATGGGGTAAGAAAGGAGATGAAAGGGTTAAGTCTCTTCTTAGAGAAAGCAGGAGCCTTTCTGAGCACCTTCAGCAGAGTCGGGACCCCTTAAATTTCCTTCCTTTCCCAGAACCACCTTCCCAGCTCACCATCACCATTGTGGGAAGTGTTAGCCTGGTTCTCCTTGGAGCTGTGGTCATGGGTGTTGTGATGTGGAGGAAGAAGAGCTCAGGTAAAGGGCTGAGGGGTGTGGTCTGAGTTTTCTTGTCCCACTGGAGGGTTTCACACCTCAGGTAGAAGTGTGCCCTGCCTCGTTGATGGGAAGTACCATCTGCACACACATGCTTACCTAGCCTGGAACCCTCTTTGCTAACACTTAGTCTTTTGAAAAGCACATGTGGAAATACAGGATAGATTTTTCACATTGATGATTCTGGTGATAGAGAATTAATTCCCAGGAGTCAAAGGTCAGAGGGAAGTTGCTGAGAACAGACTTCCAAGAGTGTGATTGGTCCATTCCCCACAGATCACCTTTCCATATGTTTACTGATTTTGCCCTGAGTTTGCAGTCTCAGTTCTGGAAACTTCTCTGGAGTCCAGGACTAGCAGGTTGCTCTAGGATCTCATAACTTTGCCTTCTCCCTGGTCATTTTCTTTCCACAGGTAGAAAAGGAAGGAGCGACATTCAGGCAAGTAAGTGGGGGGGGTGTGATTCCTGCAATCCTTGGGACAGTGTAAATAGGAGCCCATGAGGAGCTCACCCACCCCATAATTCCTCCTTTAGCCACATCTCCTCTGGGTTCTGACCAGGTCCTATTTTGTTCTACCCCAGGCATTGACAGTGCCCAGGGCTCTGATGTGTCTCTCATGGTTCCTAAAGGTAAGACCCTGGAGTGGCTGAAGTGGGAGAGGGGATAGGGCAGAGAGACATGACAGGGCTATGGGGAATGTCTGGATTTGGATATTTTGAGTATGTGGTTGGCTGTTTAGAGTGTCACCACATACAGTGACTAACCTGAATTTGTTCATGATTATTTTCTTATATAGTATGAGGCAGCTGCCTTGGGTGGGACTGAGCAATGCAAGATTTGTTCATGACTTCCCTTTGTGACTTCAAGAACCCTGACTTCTCCTTCGACCATTGGAATCTGTGGAGGTAGGGAGACTAGCCTACT